ATTAAACTGGAGTCATTCTCAGCGCTGCCTTCTGCCTTCACACCGACCTGCTGACACGCTTCAGCTGGTCGTCCACGGGCGTCCGGCAGAGCGATGCACGTGGCTTATTTAGATTGGGAAGGGGGGTGGGGCTTAAAAATGTAGGTGGGGCTTAACAAGGTGACATCGACGCGCTGCTAGGTACTTCTTCATACGACGGCGTCTGGCCGGCCATCGCCTCTGTAAAGCCCTCAGCATTTAGAAGTTCAAACTAGTAGAGTACATTTATCGTCTGAGTTGGTTTGAACTGTTTATTCTGCGCCTGTTTTACAGATCGTGGGACAACAGACAAATATTTACTCGCATTTTGCGGCTGAACGACAACAGGACGAGAGCGCATCATTTCTGATGCGAGGATTAATTCATTCCATCTCTGTACAAATAGTCGAACAATTAGAAATAAAATCACGGTTTCACGTCACTGCATTTATGCAAAAACTTGTTTACTTTGCATATTTTGATTTTACGCATCAACAACACACATAATCTGGAACCTGATAATGTAAATGATGCAATCCGTAGGCTTTTGGGATGCAGAGAGGCCAGAAATCAAACTTTAAAGATATCGCACTTCATCTTTTCTGGTGCCTAACAGTTTGTTTTTTTCTCTCTTCTGGACTAAAAACAACTTGAACTTAAGCCAAAGCTCTTCAGACGGAGCGATCGATTTCATGAATGAAAACCTCATCTGAAGGATTAGATTAAAAGCTAACTGACAGCACGAGATTCCAACTCAACCCACAACCTCCCTCCACTAGCACAGACACACACACACACACACATGTACACACCTCAGGGGGCCACTTACATAACCAGCGCACATATGAAGAGGGGGAGGGGCAGGGAGGTGGATGGGGAAAGACCGGGAGAGGAGACCGAGGGGGAGGAAATCAAACTTGTACGTTTGCAGTGAAACTAATTTAATTTATGTTATTCAAATGTCAAAAAAAAAAGATGAAGCGCCACATAATCATAGTCAATTACGTTTTCCCACAAAGGCCGAGGCTGAATGAGTCACACTGACGTATGAACATGTCAAATGATTTGTCTGATGTTAAATTCAGTATTTCTTCAGTTCTACTGAGAGAACCGTCTTCTGGAAATGACGCATGCTGTGATCCAAAGGGAGAAAGCTCCTCTTCGGTCTCTTTCATTGGACGTCCTCGCATCGTCCAATGAAAATACAGCCGAGTGTAGCTGCGTGTGGAAAAATCATCTTTGACTATGAAACATGGAAACGGCTCAGATACGGGACCTTACATTACCGAGCTTTCCTCCTCCCCACCACCTTCTCCCCTCACCCCTCCGTCCTCCCCCATCCTTCCTGTTTCACCACATTAATCTCCCATTACCTGCACCTTCCCCCTCTTCCTGTCATCCTTTCGTTCTTCTACCACCAGCCATTACGCACACACACACAGGTATACAGGTATACATCTCTAAAAAAGGCCTGCTCATTTTCACCCGGGCATCAACCAAATCCTCAGACACACGAGGGTCAGAGGCGGCCATTTACAGAGCAGAACGCAGCCCGTGGAGGTGGAGATAAAGACTCCTGTGGAGGTAACATTTTGTTATTATTCGTGCTGCACAACGCAAACAGGGCGGCGTCTCCGTGCTGGAGGACAGACTAGGAAGACGTGCGTTCTGGTGTGAGCAGCGCTTCCTATAGCGAGCGCCGGCTGCTCGCTATCTGGATGTGGAGCGAGTCGGAGCGCCACTCTGAATATAAATGACTCAACGCAGATTAGGATGTCACTGCTTCATAGGCGGCAGAGGCTCGGGCAGCGTGTAAGAGGTCACGTTAACCGCTTCCGCCCACATGCCCCTCTCAAAACCTTTGTCGGGCTGCGTGGTCGAGAGGTTATCACGAGGATCAGCCGTGATGAAACACATGGATTCAGTGTTTTGTTTTACACACGAGGGCGCTTAACCGAGTCCGAATATCCAAGAAGGGCACAGGGAGCTAATATTAACTTTCCCCCCCCAAAACCAATAAAACATATATTTTTGTTAAGAGGTTGATTTGTTCTGTATCTTACTCATTCTCCTGTTTGCATGAAGAGGTTCTCTCTCTCAAAACTACTCTGTCCAGTCATCCTTACATTGAGTTATCGGTGGAGCACACGTGGTTTTTATGAGATTATCTCACTCGTATCTCACAAATGTCAAGATCATCTGCAATAATGTAACCGTGGCAATTTAGCATCAAATACATATAAATTGAAAACATGGAGCTGGACTGCACGATTATGCCCCGAATGATAATCATCATTATTATGATCTATATTGAGATCACGACTATTAATCCTGATTATTCATTGATTTCAGGGACACTGCACTTTTCACTGTTACATAAACCACAAGTGGCGTTGTTAACTCCCTTCTTCAAGGCCAGCTGCTGTCGCCAACAGCTGGACGCTCTCACCGACTTCCCTTCTGAACTCCCAAAGGAGACGTCCTCGTCTCCAAAGAGACGAATGGCTGAGAAGCCTTTCGAGTTCAAGGACTCACAAACCGCACACAGCAGTCACTCCGACTCCAGCTGCCCTGAACTTGAGCGCATAACCAGTGATGGCACTTTGACAGCGAGGCGGTGATCCGTGACATGATCGGCATGCTGCCTCGGTGTTTCGCCATAAACGTGGCAGTCTGTTGTTTCGGCGTTTTACTGCACATGTTAGTACCAACAACAACAACAACAACAAAACAAGCACAGATGGACTGAAATCTGCAGCCAGGGAGCATCCATGCTTTATTTTGAGCGCGATGTAATCAGCAAATAAAAATCAGTCCCATTCAAATATGTGATGCATCTTTTAGACAAATGTGTCACTGTATTGACCTGATGGCCTCTTTGAAATATAGAAGTAGTGAGATTATCCAATTATCTCAGCCTCTGCTTTAAGTTTCAAAATAAAGAAACTTGAACTATGCGCAATGGAGAGACTGGGGAAACCGTTCGTTTCACATGGTTTCCCCATTACTTGATGTTTGACTGGTAATCTTTTAAATGCATCATATCATTTGTTTGGCTACTTGACAAATGGCGCTTAAGTTTAGCTTGTTAAAACATTATTTTTTTAAATAAATAATGTGCACACTGAGTATAATACTTGAAGCCCACAAAGGAACGTGAACGTGAGGAACATTTGTACCGATAGATTGCAATGCTGTGTGAACCACTGACAGGGGGAGCTTTGAAAGTTTTGCGGGATGAACGACCCGATAAAAACGCCATTAGTAGCTTCCCATTTACAGTACGACACCAGTCGCACCAGTAACTGTACAATGAATCAAGCAAGTGAAACAGAATGTATCGCTGTCCGGGTCTACAGAATGATTAACAACGACAATGGGAAACATGCAACAACATTCATCCCCGTCCTCCCAACAATTGTCCCCATCAGCCCCCCTGACAGCAGGACGCGGAGCCGCTGAATGGCCTAATCTCCCCTCCACAAATGAGCCGCTTCTCTCATCTCCCCGTCCCCAAGTGCACACGATGCCCTTAAACGTCACACGGTAACACTGCCTATTCAGAACTATTATCTCAGGGCCGCCGATAATGGAGCAAAACCGGAGTTTGGGGGGAGGGAGGAACAAAGACTGTGGGAAATGTGAAGCGGGGAGTGAAAGCTGGTGATGGCGGTTTCGATCTCGGACCCCCCCCGCGCCCGCTGGCCCTGAGCTATCAGAGCCATTGATTGGCTCATGTAATTCTGCTCTGATTCGGCTCGGCCAATCAATGCGCTGCAGCTCGGCTTCCTGTGACCGTGCGGCCATTAGGTGAAAAATCCTATAGTTTCTTGTGTTGCTGGAAACGCGGCGTTTTACACCCAGCGAGGCGCCTCTGCCACAGGAGCACTGCAGACCTCCGCCTATTGGAGCGCTCACGGAGAGCTCCTCCAAAGGCCGCTTCCTGTCTCACTGCATCACTTCGGGGGCTGTATTGACCCGGCGAACACAAAATACACGCTACGGGGACGATGTAACCTTGCAAGTGAAATACGAGCAAAAGTTAAAAAAGGATTGTTGAAATGAAGATGTTTTCCGATGGAGCAACTATAAAATATCAGACAAGCTGTTTTTTTGCAAATGATTAAGAATCTTTAAATAGATCATGAATGTGGGAGGATATATATATATATATATATATATATAAATTCTCTTTTCTTCTCATAGTCATAACTCTTTCCATGCAAACGTGATGCACATGATTTTAGATTCAGAGACATTATCTTCAGTGTCAATAAATAGTAAATGCAAGGGAAATATAACGCTCTATAATGTTATTATTAACCATAAGACTTAAAATAGTCGCCCTTCTACTCTGATTGCAGAGAGAGTGCCCCCCCCCCCACCATCTATTACCAAACAACCATAACAGCACTTCATCCTCTCCTTAATTTAGCCATTGATTTTTCTAACACCAGATCACAACACAGATAGTAGAAGACGTCAGGCCGCGGTGCTTTATGGTCTCTGTGGGAACCCCCACCCCCTGCACACACGCACACAGACACACACAAACACACGCACACGGACCCACACAGAGAGATGCAAAGAAACAGGGATCATCGACAAGAGAAAACTCACGGTCGACTACCGTTTGCGGTTGTGTGCGACTGGTGTGTGTTTGCGTGTGCGGTTGCTGTCCCCTTTAGTGCGCGTGCGGCTTTGCTCCGATCAGATGTGGACCAGCAGACACCCAGAAACTGCTGTACTGCCACATCATCACCACACACACGTGCATGGACACTCATGCACTCATGCTCATGTACACACAACGAGCTGGTTTAGTGGCAGGATGGAAACACACAACCGAAATATGTCTCAGGTAAAACATTTCCGCTTTCTTTTCATTCGGAATGACAAAGACACTTATGTTTTAGTAATAGCATGGTTGACTACTAATTCTAATCATCACTTCGATCCATCAGGAAAACATTTGTACTCACCAAAATAATTGCTGAGATCTAGGAACACAGCAAAATCACAAACAATTGGTCCAACAGGCATCATACAAGTTAGGTGAATAGCGCTGTAAGACATGATCTATACACACGAGTACCGTCATATTATGTTTCGTGTTGCCAATTCTTAGAAACACTGCATTGGTTCTTAATCAGTAGTTTACATGCAAGATAATTGTGGTTTGTCCTTTTGTGCTGCGTTTTGATGTTGGGTGTTTCAGGCACTGTGATAAATGCGGTCTGGTTCTGAAAAGTCTACTTTTTACTACTAGTACTTTTTCCCCATGTTCTGTGAGGGTTTTCCAAATATGATATTTAAAAAAGCATTATATTTCCTAAAAATATTGCAAAATATCTGAATATTTGGGAATTGTAATTCTCGCCATGGCACCATTTTAGCCTTCACGTGCTTAGCATAGCTTTATAAAGTAGGGGGAACCTGTCCAGATATTTAAATCAACATTAAAAACCTTTCAGAAGATCACAAATCAGTGTGTTGTATCTAGTTTGTTTAATCTGTCTAAAAATGCAATCGTTGTAACAGGAATTTGCGTTTCAGAGGAAGTTCTGCCCCTTCTTCAGCTCCTTATTACTACAAAATATTATTCGTACAGCTCCAGTGCTTTGTTAGCATTCACATGGATGGTGGGGAGATTAAGGAACTTGTCTATCATAAAAGCTCCATAAACCATACGACAATATTGACCCTCAGGAAGCCTCACTGTGCACAAACACAGAAGGAAACAAGGGGACTTACAGGCGTTGGTGACGGCGAAGCTGTTGGCTGTCTCGATGTTGTCCACGTGAGGCACCAGGTTGAACGGGGCTTCCGAGGCGTTGGGGCTGGTGTTGTGCAGGAAGATTGCCAAGCGAAAGGCAGTGTACTCCTGATCGGTGTTTCTGATGAACAGCCCGCCTGGAAATGAGAAAGGCGAGAAAGACTTCACCGTTAACACTACATTTTCACTTATTGGAAGAGCAGCAAAACATTGAGAGCCGCACATGTTGATCCAATCAGATCAGGCGTGTTCATGGTTCTTGTTTTGTACCATCGAAGAGTTCAGCTTCATAGTGCAGGAAATGTGATTTGTGTCCATCGTAAGTATTTCGTTAACCTGGAACCTCGTTAGTGAACTTCATTGGTAACATCCAATTGGATTAAAGTGGGCACTAAACCAATCAAATCCAATAAAAAAGCCTGTAAAATGATTTTTTGGCCTTAATTAAATTGATGCATTAGATTGAAACAAATTTGCTGCATAAATTCTGACGAGGTTCTTGCGACTTCTCTCCATTTTTCAGTTCTCATTGCGGATTACAAGCAGGCATAGACTGTAGCGCCCACTTCTGACCACATTTTAGAGAGGAAAATCAAGTAGTTATTGCGGCTGAAATGAAATAAAAGGCCAATATTGGTCTGGTGAGCCACTATTCTGTACTAATTTATAGCAACTCACGATTTAAGCACCACTGGGCTATCTGTCAATGCAGGATAGAGCGTGATCAGCTTGTGAATTACTGTTGTTTTACACCAATGCCAGCGGAGAGAAGGGAGATAATATTCTCGAAATATCCTTCTGGATAAACAAAGATGTTCATTCATTTTTTCACGCACGAGCTGCTCGAGTGTCAAGATTCAGTTTGGCATCAGAGATAAGACTCGCTCTGGGGATCTTTCCTCTTTCTTTAATTTCTTTTGACATTACAGGCTTCTTCTTCTTCTTCTGCAAAGCTCTCGACTGTGGATCATGGTCGAGAAAATGTCATTGGTGTTTTAGGTTTGAAGCAGTTTGCTTCACATTTAAAAATCTGACTTAAGGCTACACTTCTTGAGATTAGACAGTATAAATGTCACACAAAGCAAAATGCCAGTGTGTTCTTTTTATAGCTGACCTCTTTATGATATAAACTTCAGAATATTTTAATCCTGTATGGTGCTCACTAATTTACATCCTATTCATCTAGTAGAAAAAGTACTGGAGCTATGAATTTAATTTTAATTTCCACTGTGATGGTTTCAAGTTCCACTGCCTCACACTCGTATCCAAATGCTAACAGAAGGTGTTAATTCCTGATTCACCAAAATGTGTGTGAACCTTTTGCTCGTCTTGGCAACCGATCAGCAGGAATTCCCTCTTACGTATTTACAATCAACACATTTCCAGTAAAATATGTCAGTTACAAACTAAACTGGTATATCAAGTCAATGCACACTTGAACATCTCCTGGGTGTCCTGTGTTTGTTTGACCCACTTTGAAGCTTCATTACAAACATATAGTTTGCCGTCAACAGGCATCACAGGGATTATATTAGATCTTCATATGCAAATCGGACACGCCTGTCAACGCCTGTAGGAAAACCTCCAGAGGACGCCGAGGACTTTTCAATAGCGTTGCTGACTACGCTATGCTACGGGCCAATGGAGAAGCCTGTTAGCATAATGCTAGCTTGGCTACCCCTGTTGGTTATTTGTCCCTTGTCTCGCACATCCAAGTTGTCCCCCAACAGTTTTTTTTTTCTTTTGAGAGGAAGGAGATTTTTTTTGTTAGCCGCTTAAAGAACCAAGAACGTGTAACTGTACGTTTTTTCTCAGCACGTTTTGATACGAGGTATGAATTGAGTTCTGACGGGTGGTGACACGACGGGTGTCATTAAGTCCAAGAATCTGACAACACTTCCTTAAAATATCTATAAGTTTAAACACACACACACACACAGAGCCCGTCAGATGTTTTTAAGAAGTGATGATGGCTTCAGGGTCCTTGAAAGAGAACCTGTAGAGCCAATGGAAACCTTTCACATACATCAATGGAGTCCGAATGAATCTGTGGCAGTTGTTAAGCACGTTTGCCATGGCTGTATTTGTGCCCTTGTTTCTGTGTAGCCCGCATGTGTACACAGTAAATGTCCCACTGCTAATAAGTATAGATTCATCAGTGACGATTATTTGAGGCCGGCGAGTGTGGATTGGAGAGACGTTTGCTCTCACTGAGAACCGGTGGAACTTTGTGTTGGCTGCTCAAAACAGACAAAAAGGAATCACTTGTACATTTATACACTCGTAGAGGTCAATTACAGCGCTGAGGGGAGGAAATATGACGACACTGGTATTACATCAGCAAGGTTTCCTACCATTGGCAGAAATGCTTTGAGCCAAACGATGCTGAGAATCGCTTATAATTTCAGAAACGTCAGGGAAATGTGTCTGAAGTTGCAGAGCGTGTGAGAGTATTTGTACACACGCAGCAGCAGTTCTGCTTAAATCAGCAGCCGGCGTCACTTGAATGTTCATCGTTATGGCAGCGATTCCACAGATGCAAGTTTAAACCACCGCCCAGCTCGCGTGGCCTCCGTTCCAGGGTTGCAGTCTGTAAACGGCCCTGACCTCTGACCTCTGATTCGGGTATCACATTGATGTAAAAGGACAAGGATAATCATTTGAGCAGCTTGTCATTTGTCATCAGCCCGACTGGTCCTGATGTGCCTTGACTCAGCTACGAGCCGCGGTGCATTGGAAGGCGAAACTACCAAAAAGAAAAAGTCATTTTGAGCAAATACTTAAAAAGGTTTTAACAGGATGACGGACTGCTTTACTGATGATTGATTATTTGGGGTCCGTTGTGATGATCACCAACTGGAGGTCACAGTTTGCCCTTCTTTTTTACTCCCTGCCTTTAAATCAACCAAGTCGATATTGCCCTGCTCGTCAAATGAAAGCCATGAATCCATCGCCTTTATTTGCATCCACGACTGTTAAGTCGTTGACATGTATAAAAAATAAAATAAAATAGTGGAGCTTTAAGACTCCCGGGACCGTGCAGGTTTATTGCAGCCGGGTCTGCGAGACAGTTAACAGCGGCCAATGCACACAGGCAGCCTGCATGGGGAATACACACACACACGCACACACACACACACACACACACACACACACACACACACACACACACACACGCGCGCGCGCGCGCGCGCGCGCGCACTCTTTGCTGCTCTGATCTGCTGCAGTGGCGGAGTGCACCGGGATGCACAGCCCGCAGATACAAAGCGCATTTACTGTGTGTTTGCGTGCGTGTTAAACATGCATCAACAGAGCAGACCACCCTGTCTGGCTGCACGTGACATTTTAGAGAAGAAAAATAAAAAAAACAGAGAAATCAACAATTTGGTACTTTGAGAAGTGGCGGGGTGTTGCGCGGCAGGACAGGACGTCCACACATTCATTCACACGGTCGCTTTTCTTGACGGAATTCACATTGAGGCTCCCGCACTCACCGATCTGAACGCTGCTCGGGAAAGCACCCATTGCCAGTCCCCAAAAGCCACAGAATATCAACAGAAACCAGTCGCGAGAAGAAATCCTCATTTTGTTTCGGTTACAAACTGATGAGAGACATCGAGCAGGTTGAATTAACACCCCTGGGGCAAAAGCAACAGCACAGGGGTTAAAAAAAAAAAAAAAAAAAAGAGATTAAAAAACGTGTAATGCCCGGTTAAATATCCATGTGTGCCTCGGATGCGCTTTTCTTGGATCTCCCCCCTCCCGCAGTGCCGCTCGTTTGTGCCGTCAAACTGCGTCCGTCCGTCCGGCGCTGGAGATTTTGCGCACAACACCACCGAGATGAGGTGGAGTTGGGGTGTGTGTGTGTGTGTGTGTGTGTGTGTGGTGGGTGGAGGCGGGGTGGTGAGGCGTTGGGGGGGGCGGAGGAGGTGGGGGGGGGGGGGGGGCAGACTACACACAGCCGCGCGCCCGTGCGTCTGGAAGGGGCTCTACACAAATCACAGGGATCACACACACATGCGCCTTTTACCCCACCCGAACAGGCGGGACCGGTGGGATAAACCGGCCCGGAAGAGGGGGGGGGGGGGGGGGGGGGGGGGGGGGGGGGGGGGGGGGGGGGGGGGGGGGGGGGGGGGGGGGGGGCGCGTCAGTCAGCGGAGAAGTCCCCGGCATCTCGGTTGGTATCCAAAACTTCCAGAGCTGCTGATGAGAAAAATACGCACGGAATGTCTGCGAGGACTGCGCGGGTCACCGGGGACGCTTTTACCACGTGACTCGCGCGAGGAGATAATTGCTCGAACATAATCGCCGATGTCTCTTCTTCATGCGCAAACCAATGTGCGTGAAAGCGTTAGAGGTGCCGGTGGAAATGCATTAAGTGCACAAAGTGCCCAAAGTAATAAGATACAATACAACATTTTAAGGATTGTTATCTATGAACTACTATTTCGTCCATCCCATCAATGAGAGCAGGCTGATTATTAATAAGAAATAATACCATGATGATAGAGCCAGGACATGGTTAGCATAGCTTAACATAGAGTGGCTCCCAAAATGTTGCAAGATATTCTCCTGCTGATTTTGGTGAACTTAAACTTTCTCACTTTGATGTACTATTTTATTTGAAGGGGTCTTTTTTTAAAGTACAGTTTGTAGTCTTGTCAAAGTCTGTAGTGAAAAAAAGATCTAATTTCCCCGCGGAGATCATCAATGATTCATTTCAATTTAAACCCTTTCGGAAAATTAATATATCAGAAAACTAATGTTAATTTATAAAATAAGAAAGTTGTATGATCGCCACATACTGTTTTTAGCTGAGCTCCTAATTTCTTCAAGCTTCGTTGCTATGGAGCAGAAAGGGGTCTCTCACTGGGCAGTAAATCTGGAAAAAGCAATAGTCCTCCACGGCCTCTGAGGCTGATCCCTTGCTCCCTAATTGCAGTTTTTAATATTTAAATGGTTAGCACTTAATTATTAGGGGGAAAAACCCAAGGTTGTTTGTCTCCTGGCTTGAGGTGGTCTTCAATAAACCGTAATAAAATCTTCCTCCAGTTTGTCTCCAGCCAGAAAACCCATTAAACGAGACACTTTATCAGTTCGGCTTCTGCTAGAGACTTGACAATCAGGAACTCTATTAATATTGCGATATTAAAACAACTGCAACTGGTTGGCTCTTCCCATCTGCCCTCGAGTCAACGCAAACAACCACATGGTGAGGCTTTATTATGATCCCCCCGCGCTGTTTTGGGTAGACAGGACTTAAAAGTGAGCACGGTGGTGGAGCTGGCCGTGGTGCTGAATGCGTTGTTATGGCAGCTAAGTGGAATTCTGGACAGCAACAGATTCAACATTTCATAAGTCGGGACACGGCGCCAGCCTGGCTCTGTCCAAAGTAAGTATACAAATCTCATTTGTTTGACCCATACAATTAAATTTATACAAAGAGTTCAATCTGTAGCTTCAAAAAACCTCCCATCCCTTTTGTCCAGCACGCTCATCAAAACTGGCAACCTCACTGTGGAAGCATGTCTGACACGTCTGAAAACAGGCTAGCAGAAGCACCGCAAGACCTTAAAGCAGAAGCCAATGCCCAGGATATGAAGGACGACAGCTGAGGGCAAGTAGAGAGCACTTTTTCTAATTTGTGAGCTTGTGTGAGCTCTTCCAGAAGAGGCCGACACAACCGGAGTTAACTCAGATGAAACACAATGTCGTCAATTTGGAGTCGATCAATGGCAATTTGGAGGAGATGCACAAGAGGAAATAGTCATTTAATCAAGTACAGTAGGCTAGACCCAGCATGAAAGGAATATCTTCAGATAGCCATCCCCATCATTGATTGTAATGAATATTTCTGGTTGTGATCAACAACGTGTTGCTTTTGATCGTGTGAGTCCAGATAAAAGACACGTAAAAAGTGTCTCAATGGTGTAAAGATGAATTTCTTCTCGACAAATCAGGAAAACCGGACCTGCTGCTTTTCCGAAAAACATGACAAAGCAAACCAGCATGTGTTAAAATAGTTATCAGTCAGATGATCACGACTACGACACAATAAACAAGCCTAGTCATTAAAAACATAAACACTCCAGTAAAGTTAGTCCCAGTGATCTAAAATAGATCAAACAACATATCAGACTCGAAGGGCAGGCAGAAAACCCCTGCATTGTTTTAATCGTATAGGAAATATCTAATGCAAGCATGCTAACACTAAACAGTAGTCCATTCATCGGGCCCATAACTGATACTTAGCTCAAGGGTTAGCATCCTCCTGCGGGTCTACCGCTAAAGACACAGAGCAAGACACTTGAACCCTAATTGGTCCCGAAGGCTGGGCACGTCCTTGGTGAGTGGGAGGGAATGATTACTGAGTTCTCATGGGCAGGTGGCACCTTGCATGGTAGCAGTTGCACATCAGTAGTATGCTTGACCTCATATTTTCACAACTTGACCTTGCTGTCAGATAAGGATGTGCGGTACGGCCAAAAATCCATATCACGTTATTTAGAAAGATTCTGACGGTATCCCGGTATGTGACGGTGTCGCTTTTTCAAGTGAACACATTAATTAATTCATCCCAAAAAGGACCCGAACAGGTAGTTGCCGCTCGCTGGCCAAGTTGCTCATAGCGAGTTAGCACGTTAGCTTGTTGTGGCTGCTAGTGTTCCCACTAGAGGCAAACAAAAACCCTCCAAACAGACACCGGCCCGCCGTCAGACAGCCTTCTCTTGACTGAAGCCCTTATTTTGCTTCCTTCAAAGCCGCAAGATGCTTTTGACATAAACAGCCTGTTCACCTGACAGACGAAGGGAGTTTCTGTAGGTTATACACGGTAGCTGTGGATGAGCGTACATGTATGCATGCAGGGCGTGGAAATGGCATCATGCAAAACATCCAATGGGAAACGCTTTTAGAAGAGCTTAATGTTAAAACGTACATAGTTCAACCAAAAACAGCATCTTGGTGAGCGGGGTCTGCAGTAGGTTTGAAAGTATATTAATGTTTGTATCCACAGTCTCAGTTCTGTTCATACACAGCTGACTGGGTAACGGCTGTAAAGGTCACCGTATGTTAAAACTACTCTTCAGAAGCAGCTTTTCCTTCACTGCTGCTACTGTCCCTCACACCCTGTCCCAGTGGAAGAGAATCTGCCCGACTTTATGAATGAGGTTAGTGTGTGTGTGTGTGTGTGTGTGTGTGTGTGTGTGTGATGGATCTCTGCCATAACTTGGAGGTGAACAGATGGGGAACCAGCAGCAGGTGTATCCTGCTCACCAGGGGTGAAGAAGAGTGTTGTTCCACCGCTGCTGGGGAATCCCGATCACACACAGGGTGTGTGTGTGCTTTAGTCGCTCTATACATAAATAGGACTTTTTGTTACTTGCTATACCGGGACTTTTTAAAAGCTATTTCTTCCGACTAGCGATGTTAAGAGTTTTTTTCCCCAAAACTGTATTAATGTTCTTGTTGTTTAAAACAATAAAGGTGACAACTCCAGTTGGAAAGTGATGTAACCATAAAACTAACAAAAAAGTGTAATTAAAAAAACAATGGAGTCAGACCTCACTAAAAAAACAGATGTTTCTTACAGTTTATCTGCAAACAAATGCATTATTATGGAATCACTGAGTTGTAATGCAATTTAACAATTGGAAATACGATATCCCTCGTTACCCTCGTTTTCGAAGAGGCTGTTTAACAGCTGTGGCCAAATAATTAACCATAATGTGACACCATTTCACCGATGTTTGACTGTTTAAATCTTGAGTTTATTTATATTTTTTATTTAATCTATAGTTAGTAGCACAGTCTATATTGTGGATTTCACACTGTGTTGGTTCTTTACATTACGTGTACATACAAACGCTTTTGTCGCGAAATAATTTCCCCTGATTAGCAAAGTATCCGTGTGCGTGTGTCTTTTTTTTAAAGAGAAAAAAAGCATGCAGCCCAACAGCATTCATCCGCCCTCCTTCAATTTCCAGCTCTTTACACCTAATTTTTTGTCGTTTTGTAGGTTTGTATATATAGGATATAGGATAAACAAATAAATAGTCTATTTTCTCCTTTGGGAAGTATCCTTTCAACAAAACCATCCGTCAGGCCAGTGATGCGTCCTGATGGAACTTCAGACACTTAAAGCACTGGGAGCGCATTGTTAGTTTAACAATGTGCAGTAAAACTCAAATTATCCTCAAATTAATCAACTGTAAACTTTAATTTGTCACCGATCAGCAGCCGTGATCGGACTGACTGACTGTCAGTCTGTGGTTTGCCGCCGGACTAAAGTTTTGAGTTCAGCATGTTGACCGTCCTAAAACCTTGTTTTAGTTTTTTTACCAGAAGTGACCATATTTGGGCGAGAGGGGAAGCTGCGGCCGAAAACATGCCTTTGTTTCTCTCATTTACTCTAAATTGAACCATAAATCACGGAATGATCACGACTTTGAAATTAAAATCTCTTTTACGAGGAGATAATGTTGAGGTTTGGTGCGGTTTATGTCTTTTGCACTCAAACTGGAACGTTAGGGACCTATTGTGGTGCTGGTTGAAAATACCACTGTGTTTGAGTAATAAACACTTAAAACTGGGACGGGAACAGTTGTGCTTTACAATGTCTACATGTATCTCATATAATTAGGTTTATCAGGAACATCATATAGCTATCTGTGTTGAAGACACATTTGTGCCCCTGAGTTTTGGCATCATATAATCATTGCATTGTTCTAATATAGAAGGTGAGACGAGGACTACGAATTATATATATATATATGCCCCTCTTCTTTATGTAATAACATATTTCAGGCACGCACAATCAGACAGAATCGTAACCTTGGGCGAGTCATCCTGATTACAAAATGGTGGCGACTCTA